TTTTCTACTTCATTTCTTGAGACTTTTCAACACTTTCTCTTTTTTTTTCTTTTTTCTTTAATAAGTATAAACATTTTTATGAATAAAGATTGATTCTTAAAGTTGTCTCCTAACAGAGATAATGATAATTAATGACGTGATAACGTCGTCGAAACGTCGTGTAAAAATGTTAAAAATTTTGTCAACAGAAATGTCTTATCGCATGAACCATATTTAAAAATCATTTTAAAATCGTTCCTTAGAAACATTAAAAAAAAAATTTTATGTGCACTTAACGTACTAAACCATTAACGCGTTTGCTTTCCTCGATTGAGTTTTGATTGGTTGCTTTAAACTGATATCTTTATTGTAGTTCGTTTTTTTTGTTTGTCAGATTTTTGAATAGGCTTACGGTAACAAACATATGTAAAATGGATCTGAATATTAAAACAACATTAAGGCAAAAACACTGTGCATTTATTTGTTATCTCGTGTGATATTCCATATTATTATATGACTTGGATAGTACGCGCTTACTGATTGGCTCACGCGAGGGCGATATTTTGCTATCTCCGACCGATTACCATGACAACGGTCCGAAAGTCATATCCCGAGCGCCCGTTTGTTGACATTTTTCAAGGCGCGAGATTTGATTTTTTTGAACTGAATTTAAGAATAACTATAAGAGAAGCAAGCAAGAAAAAATTAAGAATGACGAGGAAGAATATTCTTCAAGCGAATTTAATTATTCTGACGAATTGGAGTTGAGTGAAAACATGCATGAAAATGCAACATCCGAAGCGAAGTTCAAACTCCAAGCCAAGGAGTCAGTCGTTTTGACAGTCCCATATAAGCATGATAGCTTCGGTTCAGTGATTCACTGTTAAACTTCGCTACTGCATAAAGCTTGTAGAACAATAATCATTGCACGTGGTCGTGTTGATTTTGCATTTCTCCCTGTACCCCTCAGGCCATGTGACTATGAGCTATTTGGCATGCAATGGGATGGGGAATTCTAAAATAAAGTTCTCTATGAGCAACAACAAGACCAATAACTATGATTTTCTCATTATTGAACCTCCATCCCCTTGCAGAGTGTAACATACGTTATTTTGGGTCACAGCTATAGATTTGGTGCAGCGATAGCTGCAGTCTCTGCGGGACTCCCCCCATGGTTGGTTAAAACACTAGGAACTAAKGTGGTCATCTGATTGTTTTGAACGATATMTTCAATGCCCWCAGTCCATTTTGTCCGAAGTTGCCTTAAAGTTATTAAAAAAATCAAATTAGGGGCTGTCTTCCACCGAAAAATACTAGTATTACTTGGATAGAGTGAGGACATGAATGCTTCGTTGGGTAACTCACATATCCTAGGTTTCGAAACTAATTAGTCGGACTAGCCGAAGGCGGTCCGATTTTAAATTTACCTTTTAG